TAGACTCACTGACTTCACTCAAAAACAGCCTTACAGACCCCTAGGGCAATCATGGACCAAGTCAAGTCCAGCAGCACTGTGACGCATATTAACGACCAAGGCTCCAGACACTTGTCTCATAAGCAATAGAGAAGCTGATCCAACAGTCTCAGGAGGCCAAGCAGCATGCGTACTGTCCCTACAGCAAGTTCAGAGTGGGAGCTGCCCTCCTGACCATGGACAACACTGTTTTTAGAGGTAAGGTACAAGTTGGCCTTTGGATTGCTTGTTTAGAGTTAATATTTGGCATGAAGAATTCCAGTTTAATTAAACAACTGTTGAGTTTTAACAGTGAAATCTGCATTCAAAATTGTTTTCCCCCTAATACTAATATTTGCCATTATCAGCAAGTAGACTTTAAAGAATATAATATATCTGGATGTGTTGTAAAAGTCTAAAATGTCTTATCAGACCAATCAGATGTACCTGGTGTTTGAGTTTCTTCTGTTTTGGTGTTGAAACAGAACTTATTAAAACCACAAGATGTTTCAGTTAGTATCAGTTTCAATTTGCAGCACTGTTAATTATTACTGGACAACAGTCAGGTCTGTGGAAAGGTATATTTTAACATGTCTCCCAGCAGAAGGCCCGTCATTAAAACCGTACTAGGATGAGTCTAAACCATTCCCATTGGTTGAATAAGGTATCAACCACTCTTTCCATGAGATAAGGGTGACCTTTTGACCTCGCGTCTCTTGCGTCTGCAGCATTGCACTTACTGACAGGGATGGCAAATGATTGTCAACAAATGAGGCAAAGACACAACTCTCCTGTTCATGTTGCTGTTCTAGTTAAAGCTTAAACCAGGGGTGTCAAACTCAATTTCACCGCGGGCTACATTAGCATTAGGGTTGCACTCAAAGGGCCGGTTGTAACTTTAAAGACTATATACAAATACATATATAAATATATAATATATATAAAATAATGTATTATATTACATTATTGCCCCCTTCATTGGATTATTATCCATTATATGGTAATAATTAACTACGTCTGAAAAGCAGAAGTCTAGGGCAAATAATTGCAAGTCTCTTCAGTGCGCATGTCACAAAACAAGATGCATCGTGGAATATGTAGTTTATGGGCAACGTGCTTCTGTAAAGCGGCATGTAAACCGTATAATAAACGTATTATATTCTTTGCAAGCTCTTGCGGGCCACAGAAAATGAGTTTGCGGGCCGGATTTGGCCCCCGGGCCTTGAGTTTGACACCCCTGGCTTAAACAGTCACATTAACCCAAGCAGAAAATGTCTGGGGGGTAAATAGTTAGCAAACAGGTTTGAGTGCAATGACCTGTTAACAGTTTGAACACGATAGAATAAGTAAACAGAGCCTCTTTTTATTACTTTGACATTTTGTTCAGAGGTTGAAGAAGTACTCAGATCTTGTTCTTAAGTATGAGGATAAGTACAAGAGTGTAGGAATACTCTGTTACAAGTAGAAGTCCTGCATTCAAAATGTTAGTCAAGAAAAAGTAGAAAAGTATTAGCATCAAAATATACTTCAAGTAACACAGTTAAAGTACTCATTCTGCAGAGTGACCCATTGAAGAATAATATATATTGAATGTTTTGATTGTAATCATTGATGCATTAAAGTGTTCTCAAAGCTGGTAAAGGTGCAGCTAGTTTTAATGACTTTGTATGCTGCAGGGTAGCTTGTGAATTAACTCCAGGTGTAACTAAATGTAAGTGTTGATCATATTGTTTATCATTCATCTATATCTGCAAAGTAACTAAAGGTACTGCGAAAATGTAGTGGAGTAAAAGTACAATATTTACCTCTGAGTTGTAGTGGGGTAGAAGTATGAAGTATCATTAAATAGAAATACTCAAGTAAAGTACAAGTGCCTCAAATTTGTATTTAGAGTACATTCAGTACTTGAGTAATCTACTTAGTTATTGTACACCACTGCTCATAAACTAACTAATGAGTGTGATTGTGTCCCTGGCAGGTTGCAATGTAGAGAATGCATGCTACAACTTGGGTGTATGTGCTGAAAGGAATGCTATCTCAAAAGCGGTTTCTGAAGGCTACAGAAGTTTCAAGGCAATTGCAATTGCCAGGTAATTTCCACTCCTGTAATATGGGCATTTCCCTGCATGTCAACTTTGAACCCTCTCAGTCAGCATTCCTGTTTTTATCAAACCATTACTCACTTTTCTTTGCACGTCATTAAACTTCCCTTATTGCTTAACACAAAACAAGTCTGTCTGATGCATATGTTACACACCCAACAGTTGGTTGACTGACAAGTGATGCAAGGTGGATTCAAGTCTCAGCACCATCAGAATCACGTTTAATAGCTAGATACGTTTTCACGAGTTTGCTTTGGTGTATTAGTGCATAACACAAGCATAGTAAGATAAAAATGAGATTAAAAATAAATGCAAGTACAAAAAGAAGAAGCCTAAATATAGAATAGAATCAAATTCAAATTAAATGATAAAAATATGAAATCATAAATTGTACTTTATATCTGAAAAAGGAACATGAATAAATACTATGAATTATTTACATCATTAGGCATTTAAAATTCAAAATAGAAGATGTATAACATAAAGGAGTGTTAGTTTTGAATGTGGGGACATGTTTAGAGCAAAAGCGAGAAAACCAGAACAGATCAACATGAGAGGCATTGTGAAGTTTCATAGTAGAGTCCATCACACTAAGACATTTTGAGATGAGCATCAGGCTAAAAGGTCCTTAATTTCAACAATAAAACATTTCCCGGAGTTTCATTTCCTAACTTCTTCGTGTCCTCATATGTTCTTTGCAGTGACCTAAAGGACCAGTTCATCTCGCCATGTGGGGGGCTGCAGGCAATTCATTAGAGAGGTAAAACATCTGGGGTTTTTAGTCATGACCATACACACAAAACACCATAAAGAAGGGAGGCTTTGTGATGGAATCAGACAACTTTTAATATTTTATTTTTTGCCATTTCCTTCAGTTTGGTTTAAACTGTGATGTGTACCTGTCAAAGCCCGACGGCTCTCACCGGAAGATGACCGTGGACGAGCTGCTGCCCGTCTCCTTCGGCCCTGAGGAGCTGGACATGAAGAAAGTGTTTTCATCTCCTTAAACAGTGTGAGCCTGTTTTGTCGTACAAAACACAAAGACATGTATAATGCACATGCTGCTGAAAATGTATTAATGTGTAGCAGTAGTTATATTTATGGAAAATATTTGTTCTTTTAGTATGCGCTGATTATGTCAAGTCAAATGATTAAAAGTTACCTAATGTATTCTGTAATATTATTATACAATCTAGTATCTGGAGAATCCATTGTGCCTTGGTTACTTAATGCTGCCTTGCTGTAGATATCAACATTTCTTAATATGAAGAAGAATTAAGCAACATTATGTATCATATCCACACATTTTAATAAATAAAATGTTTTAAAGGCATTTCTTTTAATAATTTACACTTAATTTCTTACAGATGGATATACACACAAATGAAGGTCAAAGGACATACAAGAGGGAAAAAGATGAGTTACAGTGTACTGCAAATATTATTTGTTTAGCAGCAAGTTATTCAATTACAGAGTAAAAGGGGGAGAGAGACAGGGTGAAGGGTTGAAGCTGCCAGTGCAAATTCACTTAATTGTTCGTGATATTAGGTCTACATATTCCATGCATTGACATTTACAGTGGTTTAAGGGCACAGCCTTAAAAAGGACAAGTATAATAAGATGGGATTTATCATTGATTCAGAGAGATTTTTTATTAAAAAAGGTAAAACCAGCCCGAAGTTAAAACAGCTAAAAGACAAAAAGGCAGATTTAATTTTGGGTACTACCCACCCAAAATCATATACAACTTCATCAGAATTCAAACTTGGCAGACAGCATGTTAAATATGAAATCCCTACAACAGCAGCAGGACATGGCAACGTGGCTCTGAGCGGAAATCATCAGGAATAAAATATGTTTTTAATTATAAGCTCTTTTGGTAGATGAAATGTAGATAGTGTTATGTGACTACATAATTATTGCTGCTAACAATGCTCTATTCTCTATGTCTTAATGCTTGGAATAAAAAAATGTTTCTGTCAGATCAACAACCGCAATTGATAAATCAACAATAAACTCAACTGAAAAAGGTCCTAAAAGTAAAAAAAACAAACAAGAAAATCTAAAAACAAAAAATATATTTATTAATTCAGTGCATCAGGCTTAGTGTCCAAGCCTCTATTCGTATGAACCTGCTTCCACCTACTGTCAGAAGTAAATACTCATGATAGACGATGTGGTCAGGCTCGTGTCAAGTTTTAGAGGCTCTTGCTGTCCAAAGATACAAAGTAGAGCAAAAATAATTGCACTAATTCCAAGCTGCTAGATTTGTATCTAATGAATGTATGGAGACGAGAGGAGAAAAGAGGGGGGAAAACACTAGGAACCGAAGTTAATGTGTCACATACATACATGGACACACACACAGCTAGCTAGTACCATGAGGCTTCTGAGTAAGGTGTGTGTGGTGTGTGTGTGTGTGTGTGTGTGTGTGTGTGTGTGTGTGTAACAGCTATTGATTTTTCCTATAGAGTCTCTTCTTTTCCCTCCTTTTGCCTTGTACTTAAGACATGAAGCCGCATCATGCAGCGAACTCTTAACCTTTGCCTCATGCGCGTGTTAAAGGTTTGTGGTAGCACACTACTCTCTCTAAACCATACATTTTGATCTGCTTCAAACTGTTTAGCAGATAAAATAAAAACGTCTGTAAAAAGCTCGCAACAGCTTAGTTTGACGACATACTTTTACCAAACAGAACCTAAAATATGATTTGAAAACTGCAACATTGTTCTGCAGTTTTCTTGCTGAAGACCCTCATCAGGCGTGTGTGCGCTACCATTCCACCTTTGTAACTTTAAACTCAGCTCTCTGCGGAGGAGTTATTGGTTTCGCCAAGAGAGGGCCATGCGGTGACCTGTAACCGGGGGAGGGTCCCCTCCATCAGCCTCTCCATCCACAGTCCCAGTCTGTCCAGCTTGTGGTGCACGTCTATGGTGGTGGCCCTGTTTGAGCCCCTCTTCGGGACCCCATCCTCCCTGGAATGGGACCTGGACCGAGAGTGGGAGCTGGACCTGGACCTGGACCGGGACTTCCTCCTGCTCTCAGAGGACGAGGTGTCAGACGCTGAGTCGTTGGGATCGTCTCCGGTGAAGACGGGTCTAAAGAGGCAAAAGTATTTCTTGTGGCCGTTGAGGGCCAGGACGTGGCCGGCGTAGTCTGGAGACTCCTCATCCTCGTCCGAATGACTCGGCATGGTGTCAGATGTCGAGCGAAGGAGCGATGGCATCCAGTGGCGGTGCTTATCACCGTTAAGGAAGGAGAAGTGGAGCGTCTGAGTCCTGTAGTGGCAGAGGGGTTTAGGGTTATTAACTGGACCAAGTGAAAAATATGCAATATTGGCACCTTAGTGGACACGTTTATTTTCTTTTTAATCAATATATACACTTAGTTCCATTATTTAAAAGGCAGGTTACTTAAACATCGGTAAGACAAGTAGACACAACATTCATAGTTGTTTTAACCACATTCAGTGCTCATTTACAGACTGCATTTGGAAGGCTTCCTTTTTTTTATTTTTAGGAATAACAAGAATAATAGAAACTTGAAAACTGTAGTGAGGAGACTTACCCAGAGAAAGAAAAAACCTCCTTGGCATATTTCCTGAGCAGGGCATTCTTAGAGGCGTTGGTGAGCACCAGTACAACGTTGATGTGGCCGGGCCTCAGCTTCACCAGGTTGCTGATGTACGTGATGTCCGTCAGCTCCGTCACTTCCACAAAGTCCTTCTTAGGAGGACGGCTGCAGCGGCCAATGAGAAAGAAGGAGTGAGGGAAGAATACAGGGAGGAAAAAGAAAACAATCTAAACTAGATGTCGTGTTTGTCTATTAAAGCGTTTACAGTTCAGCCGAAGAAGCTTCTTTAGTCTTCTTTATCTACACCGATACAACTACTGTGACGGCTCCTGCTTTACTCTCCCCTGTTGTGTGTGTGTATGTCCCTTTAACGATCTCCCTTCATCCGTATCAGCACTGATTGAGGGCACCTGACCGCCGGTTGCTGAGGAGTGAAAGGCCCGAGCTAGAGGCCGTTTCTCAATGTCGAGTAAACCTGCTGCAGAGCCACTATTTCAAGTATACTACGTCATCGAGTGGCGCCGAAGGACAGTTTAAATGCATGTTAAATGCCCAGCATTCGGCGCCACTCGATGACGTAGTATACTTGAAATAGTGGCTCTGCAGCATGTGTACTCGACATTGAAAAATGGCCAGAGTCTTGTTCGCTCTCTCTGTTGGAGGATTTGTTTGGAGAGCAGCTACCTTATTTATGTGTTTACCTTCATCTTAGTTTGGCATTCAAGACCTTGCACCACACCATGTTATGAGGGGCCGTACAGGCCATAATTCATACTGGTCCTCTCACGCACATACATTCTCCTTTTACATACATATATTTTCACTCTTACATACATACATTCTCCTTTTACATACATATATTTTATAATATGCATGTCTGAAGAGAATATATGTATGCAAGAGAAGAATGTATGTATGTGTGAAGACAATATATGTATGTGAGAGAAGAATGTATGTATGTGTGAAGACAATATATGTATGTGAGAGAAGAATGTATGTATGTGAGAGAGAAAGTATAGTGGAAACGGAAGGAGTATGGTTGAAACGGAAGGCAGGTCATTCTTGCGCTGTGATTGGCTCAGAAGGTCGAGCGGGGCGGGCTCATGTTCAGAACTTCTGATTCAAATCAACATGATGGAGGGAGATGAATCGCGTAGATTGCAGCAAGCATTAGGGGTTTTAAGGAACATTTGGTCAACCCCTGAAACTGTCACATCCCTGGCCAGGTGTCCTTGCGGGTGCGTTCGCTTTACTTATCAGAGCGTGCCGTAAGGGCGGTTACTCTTTGGTTTATAAACTCCCGCCTGGGACGGACTGATGCATTAGATTATGTACTATATGGAAGGGGACTTTGACAGAGTATTTCTCACAAAGTACACAGTAAAAGTACTTCAATGTATCGTTAGTAGCAGTCAAACTAGTACCGAGTCCAACAGTGTCAGTTTTATGAAGAACTTGTGGTAAATATATTTGTAAAAAGAAAATGAAGAGCTACTGATTTGAAAAAACGGCTCTCTGTATAGTTTCAATCTCCTAACAATGTTGTCCATTTATTCTTCTCCCCTCGAGTCCAACAGTGTCAGTTTTATTAAGAACTTTCAGTAAAAAATATTTGTAAAATATGAAGAGCAGCTGATTTGAAAAGACAAACGCGAGAGACGGCTGAGTGACCGCAGTGCAGAATCGCTGTATAGTTTAAATCTCCTAACAATGTTGTCCATTTTAGACACAGCCCTATATTTACAGCCTTAATAACATTCATTTTCTGGGCTCAATGTGTGTCTTGGCCGTTTTCGTTGTGATCGCTAAATTCACCTTGTTTCCCCTTGTTTATAATTATGTTCAACGTTCCAAGCAAACGAGTGCTTTTGTTTTGAAATCACTTCCGCGAGTATCGCGCCCCCCCCCCCCCCCTCGCTACAATGACCATTAGACCATTTAGTAAGGTAAAAAGCAAAAACGCCTCGCAGACACTCTTCCGTTTACTTGTTTAATAAAGAAAAACAAGTGGTCCGTAGATACACGGAGTCATCTAACCCTAACCCTCTCCCTCCATCATGTTGATTTGAATCAGAAGTTCTGAACATGAGCCCGCCCCCCGCTCGACCTTCTGAGCCAATCACAGCGCAAGAATGACCTGCCTTCCATTTCAACCATACTCCTTCCGTTTCCACTATACTTTCTCTCACACATACATACATTCTTCTCTCACATACATATATTGTCTTCACACATACATACATTCTTCTCTCACATACATATATTGTCTTCACACATACATACATTCTTCACTTGCATACATATATTGTCTTCACACATACATACATTCTTCTCTTACATACATATATTCTCTTCAGACATGCATATATTATAAAATATATGTATGTAAAAGGAGAATGTATGTATGTAAGAGTGAAAATATATGTATGTAAAAGGAGAATGTATGTATGTAAGAGTGAAAATATATGTATGTAAAAGGAGAATATATGTGCGTGAGAGGACCAGTATGAATTACGGCCTGTACGGCCCCTCATACCATGTTCACACACCCACACTACTGATCTTACTGATTAACGCATCCCATTGTGGTAGCTCTTTAGTTAAGTTGAGTTTATTTTAATAAATATCTTTCCTTATATCGTGTCCTTTCCGGGTTCTTTGTTATGGCCAAGAGCCAGGCCATGACACTACATAAGAGGAATAATATGTACATCGAATATTGAGGTGAATTGTCCCTTTAAGGTTATTTTTATCGAGAGGAATTTGGTTCAGACACGCTAGGGTCCTGCCAGCAAGATATATTAACTGCAAAATAAGGTTTAGAAACATCGCTCTGACATTTAACTGTTCAATGTTTTCCTTAGTTACCAGTTATAAGTTGTATTATGAGTAAGTAAGTATCCGCTATCTGTGTCTATCTCGTATTCCCTTTCATTACATTACCTTGAAGTACTGGCTCTACTCGATGCGTCTTCCTCGGACTGCGTTTGCTCCTTTGGCTTTGGTTTCCGGGGTGTGCTCTCACCTGGCTCACTGAAAATGCATCAAAAAAGGAAATCATTAGTGTGAACACCAGCAGCTCTGACTCTTAGGGAAATGATATCCAGCAGGTATTTGACTCAACAGAAGTCAAAACCACTAATAATCAAGCAGAATTAGAAGAAAAAAAGATAAAGATCCATCGATTGCAGATTTAGTCGACAAGTTATGTACAGGATATTTGTAATGAAAGGAATTGCAAGTCAAATGCTCAAATGAATACAAAAAAGAGTCATGGTGCACTCTCACCTGAAGGCCTGAATGATGACGGTGCCAAAAAGAATGAAGAGAGCTGAGAAGATCAGCGACAGGATGGGCATCATCTCGCGCCTTGAGGAGAGATTATGTAATTGACCAAACAAGTAGGAGAAAACTCACAGCAGCCCATATCAGCCATTAACACTCGTAGTCTTCCTGTCATCTTTTCCAAAAGAAAAGGTGCATCGCGGCTATGACAGGACACCCTAAATGTGTACATTTTATGGCAGCATCTCGATGCAGAAGCATGACTAAGCTTCCGATAGATTTCAGAAAGTACACAACCTTATCTGTCTGACTCTTGTTTGCATTAATGCTGGGCGAGTGTTGTCTTACCAGTTTGAGTAGAGAAGGTCATCATATACTTGAAGGACGTAATCAGAGGCAGCATTCATCCACTGAATGATAAACATCTGGGGAAATTAAACAGAAAACAATTCCATTAACCCACAAAGAATACCTGTAGTTGTATTCATCACTGTCAGCATCTCCAGTCCAACGCTAAAGGGGTGTGTGTGTGTGTGTGTGTGTGTGTGTGTGTGTGTGTGTGTGTGTGTGTGTGTGTGTGTAGAAACTTACGGGGGCCATCTCGTTGTTGAGTTCTGGCAGGGTGGCGTCTGAGCTCAGATAGGTGGGGTCCTTCTGAAGGATCTCCAGCTGTTCGTGGAGGCGGTATTTATCTTCCTCGCTGCCGTTCCATCCACCACTCACAGAGCGGTACATGACCTTACCGGCTTGGCTCCGCCTCTCGAGAATCACCACCTGTCAGCGGGCAAAATAAATCACTTTCACTGTATACAGAGTCTCAGGGTGAACATATCGGTAATCTGACACATATCCAATTCTGGATACGCTGGATATAGAACGTTTTACAGCAAGCACTCGTTGTCCTCAATGAACTGAAAGACACATTTTCTTCCTTTGCGTCATGCATTTGAGGAGATTTTTTTTGCATCTTTGCATACGAGACGAGCATGTGAATGATGCATGCGTGTGCACTTTGTATGCGTTTGTGCCACTGACCTGGGGGGAGAGTGCAGCCTGATTATGGAGCAGTGCCTGGCAGAGAGGCTGCTGCTGCCGCTGGTAGACGTATGCAAACCGCAGCACGTCTTTTTTGTTGACCGATGCAAAGTCCAGGAAGGCTTTATTGCCTGTTAGGAAGGCTTGGTCCTCCCCCGTGATCAGCAGCACACAGTACCTGCAAAACATTCACAGTCAATTCACTTGCTGCAAATAGACTAAAGACACAACGTTTCAGTTCACCCGCTGTAATGCCTGTCTGACAATTCTGTTTTGCTTCTTGTGATGTTTGAAATTCGAATTCTGGGCTTGGCTTTTTCCTTTCCTTTCTACAACAATTCATACAACGATATAACAATGTAGGAGAGATATTAAATACAGGTCCAAAGGCTTAAGATCCTGCTCATAAACATATAAAATACATAAATAAATCTTACTTCCTCCGTCGGTGGAACTGCTTGACAGGGCACAGCTCATCAAAAAGCTGCTGGTTGACCAGCCGTGGAACCTGCAGGAACTTGTTGTTGGAGACAAACTCCTCCATGATCTGTCGCTTCATCCCTCTGGCCTGAAGGAGAGAAAGTGAGGGGGTGTGAAGGGTGCAGAGCAAGAACTAGTATAATGCAGATTGACAAAAATGGTCAGCCAATTCGTTCACTTCTTTATGTTATTACCTGGATGATATCAACAGGCTTCTCAGTATCCTCTTTAAACAGCAGCATGGTGGGGGCGTACGTGTTGATGTTGAACTGCCGCAGGAGCCGATTGTTGTGTTTCTCACCCTGGTCCACGTACCCGAAGCGCACATAGTCTTTGTAGGCAAAGGCTGTTAACTGGAGGATACAAATATATATCGAATTGTAGAGGAATGTGTTGAAAAGAAGACATCTGATTGGTTCACACTGTTCCAATAATTGGCCCGGAATTATTCCCTTTCTCCGTCTTTTTAACACATTTATTCATATTAAGTCATTCAAACAATATTTCCAGAGTATATGAATGTAATAGATGAAAAGAGTTCTTAGTGAACAGAAAAATGAGAAAGAGCTGTTCCCACAGATGGCTCTATAGTCGGTGCTGGAGTTTAATATATCTGCTGTCTTTTGTACTGGTGGAAGCCACACCACAACATCAACCTTGTAAATAAAATGTAGTATTTAGTGTGTATGTGTGTGTGCGTCAATGCATTGCTTACTTTATAGAGTAGAGGAACAACAGGAACTTGGTCAAACAAAATAACGCTGGGCTTATTTTCCACACGCCAGCTATCCAGAAAAGCAATGTAGTTGTTGTCTGTGATCTGGGGGAACAAGGGCAATTAGTTAAACATTGTATTTTTGCTCAAATTGTAAAACAGTGCACCACTTCACATTTTGAGAAACTTCACTTGTAAATATATGTTTACATAATCAGGCCTAGAACGATTTAGGAATCGGGCAAAGGTTGAGATATATAAAAACTTGCAGACAGACCCAGGCTCACAATGGCAGACATTTAGGCCTTATTTAAAACATACATTTTCTCTGTAAAATACTGTCATGGCAGAGATTCAAAAGGCCTAATCCGTCCCATAAACTAAGAAACAAAATGCATGGTATCTGGCTTAACTAATCTGAGGGTACATACATGAAGCAGTATTTTACATCTGTTGCGTTTACCTTTTCCACCAGTTTATGGGGCAGCAGGTCGTCAATGAACTGTCGCAGGTGCTCCCGTATCACAGCCTGATGGAAGAAGGTCACCCTGCCGTTCACCAGCCCGATGATGGAGGGGGCGCGGTGGGCTCCCAGCTGGTTGGCCAGGCGACGCTCGTAACCCAGGTCCACGATGCCAATGCCAACACCTGGTGTAAAAGCAAAAATAGACTGCTATTGCAACTGATACAGTAGAGGAAGTGTTGTCACAATGAAGGGGTAATGCTGCATGAAACTCATTTCACACCACGATATCCAGTGATTTTCAATGATGAAAACAGAACATACAACCACAGACTCATGGTCTTTAAGATCATTTATGTTTAGAAAAATGTCTCGGTAAATGCACCAATATTTCAGCAAAATCACACTGGATGCTGTTCAAATAGGGATTTCAAACGGTGCAGTAGAGAAACACAGAGCAGACAACTTCAAGCCGTTGGATTTTTACTTGAGTCTTTGAAATAAGTGAGGGGCTGCCTAATGGAAAGGGTCCATAAAAGATGAATGCAGTGAGTCTGTTTTTAGCATCTCGCTGAATCTGTGCATCCATACAACAGCAAATAAAAAAACCTGAGCAGAAAGACTTTGAAACAAGTTTTCTTATCGCTCTGAAGGGGCATTTTGTACTAAGGCTTTGCATCTGAGATATTATTATTTATTAGTTATTTGTCAATAACTTAATATAAACAATGGGTAGAATTACTGTTTCATGTAAGAGATGTGGCTTATTATGACAAACCCACAGAAAAAAAACACTCATAGCAAGAAAAGCTGGAAATAGAATTGTGTACTGAGCTTAGTTTCATAAATCTTAAAACATTCATCTTCACTGAATAAAAACTCAACTGGTTTAGACTGGTGACTTTTGCATAGTGAAGAGCATTGGGAACATAAATGTGCAGGATATTTTTCTAGGGCAGGGCATTTGACCATTAAAGACTACAAATGAGATGAAGTCTGTAGGGAACAGGAAACTGTATATCTAATTAGCAGAATCACTTAAATAACTTAGAAAATCATCTCCAGTGCCAGACAATTCTTACATTTGGTTAAATCCTTCCCTTGGCTTTACTCTTTGTTCCATTAGGCAAGAAAAACTAAATGAACCCAAATAAATAATTAATCAAGGTGTTGGCTCCCAGTAAAGCATCTTAACACTTGAAAACACATTTATCTAATGGCCTGCCACTGAGCAAACATTATGAGCTGATGCTTTTAGAGGAACCAAGCATCTTCCTGAACAGTGGGCGGACTGATGGGAGTGACAGCAGACTTACCCAGAGGCTCCAGCTCCTGCACCGCCTCCTTCCACACAGGCTCAATGTGGATGCATGCAAAGCACCACTCAGAGGTCACTTTGATCAGGTACGGCCTCTTGTAACTGTCTGGGAGGACGTCGCTGTTAAACTGCGCGTGGTGAAGCAGGTACTTGCTGTCTGCAAAGTCCCTGGACCTGGAGGAGGCAAGACAGTGAGATCTTTCTTTATTAGGCCAACAGACTGCTGCTTTTCTCCTTTAAGTCTCAACCAACATCTGCAACTAGCAATTATTTCAACTTTTACTTAATCAAATTCCACTCCTAGCTAAGAAGAGATCAATGTGATATTTTGTTAATGGCTTCATTTATTATTAACAATTGCAAAAGGTATTCCTTTCACAATGGCATGAAATGGCGATTAGCTAGCACATCATCACTTTTGAGAAGTTAGAGCTAGCAGATGATCCCTATTATGTTGATTTATCAGTTGTTCAATTCATTAGCTAAATCTAGGATGAGTACAATAACCGCTTCAAATCAAAGTTTTGGATCTAGGACGATAGCTGTTTGTCTTTTATAAAATAATCAATAACCAAAGCAAACAGAAGGAGGAGACTAATTGAAACCACTCCATGTGGACAGAGCAGCTTGCCGGGAAATAAATGTTTAAAAACAAGGTCATGGGAATGTGGAGAAAGAAAAGTTTTGTCAGAAGAGACACAAGAAAATACTTTTTACCTTGACAAAAGCAGTGACAAAGAAGTCACACCAAACTAAATTGGTTTAAAGCATATTTGATGCTTTGAATTAAAAAAAAAGCGCTTTTGTCAATATTCTAAAAAGAAGCAGCTTCAAGTTTACCAGTTTGGTTCTCTTTAACAATAGTGTCTTCACAAACACGTGACAGTCTATATAAAAGACAGGGGACAAACTATTTCAATGTTAGACAATACAAATCTGAACCTGTACCTGGGGAAATGGAAAAAAGACTCATCAAAGTAGAAGCTGTTGTGAGAGCCGCGGAAACCTTGATGCTGTGAATGGCCGATTGGCTGGCTATCATCAGTCTGCCCATAGCGGTCGAAGTTGGACCTTCGTTCCTCGTTTGACAGGATCTGTGTGCAAAAGACAATGAAAAGCACATATGAGAGGACTGTGACAACAACAGCAAGAACATTAGATATAGAAAGTGAAACAGAGTGAATGAACCACATAGTCATTATGGATTCCAGCATGAGTTTCTATGATATTGAGTACATGACATGTAATGATTCACTTTTACCCACCTCGTATGACTTTGAAACCTTAATGAACATGTCCTCAGCTCCAGGGCTCTTGTTCTTGTCTGGATGCCTAAACAAAAAGCAATGCATACAATCATATCAGTGCTGGCTGGGTCATAGAGGGTTAAAAAACAACTCTCAGGTGTACTGTCTGGTGATAGGTTAAGCTAATTAGCACTAGTTCAGGTGCACACCAACACAATAGATATATTTTTCTGGGGCTCATAAATGTCTGTAATCATGTCTGTGTAGCCGTAAAGCAGCTGTTAACCTGAGGGACCTGCTGCAGCCCATAGGTGCAGCTGGCCTACTGTTAGGGGACATCATTTCAGTAACTCACCATTCCTTTGCGAGGGTCTTGTATGCCTTTTTGATTTCTGCTTGACTTGCACTCCTGCTGACACCCAGGATTTTGTAGGGGTCATTTTCAGAGGCTGCTCTCACCAGCTGCACACTCAATATTAGCAGAAAGATGGCGAGCGAAACTGGACATGTCAGAGGATGTCGGCGGATCCTGCTGAGCGTCATTGCTTTCCACTGTCCTCGTCCAAGCTACAGAGCTGCCGGCCAGGTAATGAAACAAATATATTCTGTAAAGGACAACTATGTCAAGATAACAGCTTACATGGTCCGCTATGTTGACGTCTTCAATGTAAAGTCAAATAAAGCCGACATGCTAGTATTTTACTACGATGAGGCCATTATTTTTCTAGCTAATGCGATCTGTTAGCGTCACGCCCGCAGTTAAACATTCAACTTCCGCTTGCATATTTCACAATAATATCCTCAACCATTTTGAACGTCAGGGTAACCATGAGAATGATTTACCTTTTTTTACCTTACATAGCTGGAAGAAAAACAATTATACACGCTTGTAAATTAATGATTTATGAGTTATTTAAGATCTAGAATCACAGGCCTAACCCATCATACAAGAACACAATGAATTGTATTTGAAAATAACCATACATACATCATTACCATTGTGCATTTAGATATGTTAATTCAAATATATGATGCTTGTTTTGTTGTGAATATATCTTCCGCACAAAGAAGACCAAACATATCAAGCAACTTGGCAGGGTTATTATGATTATCTTAAAAACATGTCAATTTGAATGTGCTTTTATTTTTTAAGCTACCTATATATAGCATCCGGTTTACTTTTGGCTCTAACTTGACGCTGCAGCACTGGAAACACTGCGCATGCTCCAGTAAGCAGCTGTCCTCACACTGCTCACCCTTTATTTTGCTAAATGTTCCCTTTAGACTAATTATTTTCAGATTGTGCATGACATGGTCAATCGTCTTATTTTTTTTAAAATATGTAATTAAAATGTTCATATCGTTCTTGGCAAATATGTAAAAAGATAGTATTAGAGTTAGATCATTTTCTCTTAGGTTATATTTAATTCATTATATTAACAAAACAACAATTATCTAAATAAAACAAGACAAAAATCCCATATGAGAGTTTATTTTGTGTTATTATAATTCCCCTCTGACAGGGGACTTAACTTCCGTTTCCTCTTCGTCACTGCCACACAAATTAAAACAGAGAAAAAAATGAATACATCGATACGTGACTCAACCTGGACTCAACGCAGCCAGCGAAATATTTAAGCTGCTTGTTGTAACCTGTCTCACCGACGGCTCTAAACTCTTTTTAGTTTGCTTTCACCGGGTTAGCCCAATATGAGCAGCCTGTGTGTGTTTGCATTCAATGGAGTGAGCTCGGAAAGTGCGCAGAGGGTCTTATCTCGGTAGCTAACGTTAGCCTTGCAAAAACGACCATCTGTGGGTCGCTGCGGCTCTATCGTTCACGGGACAGGTACTTCTGAAAGAGCTAAGGTAACTAACACTTCCTGTTTAATGTGTTACTGCTTATAACATTACTGTAACATGTGTATGCAGCGTAGAGTTCAACTACTAACGGTAAGCTTGTCAGTCAGACGGATGCAGCTGAGGTTTACGAAATGCAAAAATTGAAACATATACCACATTTTATAACACAGGAATTGAAGGTGCAATGATGTATTTAATGCCTTTTGTTACTATAACATTAGATAACATATATTTTAATAAATGTTTGTTTACATCTGTGGTGTCTGTCTGCACTGCCGTCAAAATGAGCTGAGGCAAATGTTTTAGTGCTGTGTGATAAATAACTGCATATCATTCAGACATATTTGAATTGTGAAACACGTTAAAACACAGTGATTTACCCTTTCAGCCTACTAATACAAGTTGTTGATTGCGCTTGCAAAAACGTTGGGGGTTGTGATTAACTGATATTTTGAATTACATTAACGCTTATTTATTTGTGTGTTTCTCTACCCCTGATTCAGCACCATGAACCTGATACGTCTACTGTGCCGCCACAAGACAGCCTTGGTCATCGGCACTGTGTGCAGCTTTGCAGTAGTGCTGGTCTTCTTGGCCAAATGTACCTCAGAAACCCTCACACAGGGACACCAGGATCCTCCAGGCCTGGCCCCTCGTGCCAATTCTTTACAATCCCGTCCAGAGCATTATGACCCCACTTCCACATCCAAACACTTGTCAGCGTTCCTCGTGGTCCTCATCACGACCGGACCTAAGTACACAGAGCGGAGGAGCATCATCCGCAGCACCTGGCTGGCCAAGCGGGACTCTGACGTTCTGGCCAGGTTTGTGGTGGGAACTCAGGGTCTTCCCAGCGAGGACCTTCAGAACCTTAACACAGAGCAAGGGCGGCACAAAGACTTGCTCCTGCTGCCTGAATTGCGAGATTCTTATGAGAACTTAACACTCAAGCTGCTGCACATGTACTCGTGGCTGGACCAGAATGTGGAGTTCAAGTTTGTTCTCAAAGCAGATGATGACACATTTGCTCGCTTGGACATCCTTAAGGAGGAGCTGAAGGGGAAGGAGCCCAACAGGTTATATTGGGGCTTCTTCTCGGGGAGAGGGCGAGTGAAAACTGCTGGAAAGTGGCGGGAAAGCTTTTGGGAGCTGTGTGACTACTACCTGCCCTACGCACTGGGTGGGGGCTACATCCTGTCGGCGGACCTGGTACGTTTTGTGCACCTTAACGGGGGCTACTTTAAGACGTGGCAGAGTGAGGATGTGTCCCTCGGCGCCTGGCTGGCACCAGTGGATGTTCGGCGGACGCATGACCCACGCTTTGACACAGAGTATAAATCGCGTGGTTGCAACAACAAATACTTGGTGACACATAAGCAGAGCTTGGAGGACATGTTGGAAAAACACCAGACTCTGCAGCGTGACGGCAAGCTCTGCAAGGAGGAAGTCAAACTCCGACTGTCCTATGTGTATGACTGGAGTGTGCCACCCTCACAGTGCTGCCAGAGGAAGGATGGCATTCCTTAATTTTTGTGCTTTTTTTCAAGGTCCTGAAGTTGGCTTCTCATTTGAATATTCAAAAAAGAAAATGAATCATATTTTTCAACCAATTCTCTGTTTAAAGTTATGTAACGGGTTCCAAAAAACATAGTGAATGTCTTATTGTGGATAGAACACACATAGATTTTGAGTACCATTATACCAATTGCAAGAAATGTAAAAGGCAATTTCATTGCTGATTTATAGTGGTAAAATCAATTTGGGTAATGTTTTAAACAGTTTTGAGAGATTTCATGTTCATTAAGAACAGGTTTGACACATTTAAGAGTGTTTTCGAAACTATTCTTTGTAGCAAAAGCAATGACATTTCCAAGTCTCCATGTTGATCTAGATTCTAGTCCATGTTTGATGAAAAAAAGGTTGTACTCATTTGAAAAGTGGCTTGAAACAGTCTCTATTAATCAAGTCTAGAATTTATTTTTGTATCTCCTTCTGATTTAAAATATAATACAGATGGAGAGCAGCTAATACAATCCCACTTTTTGCTGTTTTGTACTGTCTTCGCCAATAGAACATGGTTTATAATAACCGTTAAAGCTTTTAGCATGACGTATACCCCAAGTTTCACAACTTTCAGTAATGTCACAATGGGGAATTGGCTGAAAAATGTAACCCCATAACTCTCAAACAGGAAGCCAACTTCAGCCTTTTGTCCTTTTCTACAAGATTGCTCCTTTTTTTTGGCCTTGTTTTTTGGACCCATGCTTATGTCAGAGCTTTCCTTACCGCCTGTTTTCCACGTTGGTTGCCTATTTCTCTCCTCTGTCTTTGCTTCTCCTGCTGTACTTGTTGTTCAAACTTTTCCAACACTATGAGATATGTTTTAAAGTAATTCCAGTGTAGTAGATAGTACAGGGAAACGCAGACGAGAGAATCTTACCCTGCCATGATGTCTACATGTTCTTGTGTGTTTTATTTATTGTTAATTTATTCTGCAGCCAACACTGGTGCTGACTTCAAAAGCACAGTTGTAGTGGGGGTTGCTGCTTTTGAGCGGAATTCGTATTTATAAAATGTTAGGGGGGGGGGGGGGATCATGTATTCACAGAATTATTTGACAAGAAATGTTCACTTTTTAAATGGAAACTATTGATTACGATCAACGGTATGAGGAGGAGGTTGAGGTGCAAATAATGTGTTTTATTCAGCAGGCATTCATATTCCCTACACTGGAGCCTATGTGATGATCTTTACTTCTACAAGGCAACAGTCACACTTTAAAAAGTTACGATCAGTACATTTACTGTGCAGAGAAATCAAGTTAATGTGAATGTTTGTTAGCAGCGCACCACAGATTCAGATCATAAACATCATGCTTAAGTCCATAAATCATTACTCAATGATAACTTGTTCTTCTTGTCTGATGTTAAGCTCTCTAACCTGAGCCTACCCTGCGATGCCAGTAGCAATGTATTACATGTATACAGCGATTGAATAAAGGGTATGATATATTGGAGTCCCTACAGTTGAGGTATACTGCAAAAAGAGATATGTCCACGCTCTTTTTTTCATGTCGGCTTGTTTGTCTTTGTGAACAATTCATCATTTCTCACAGTTGTCACAAGCAGATTCAGATTCAATACAATCTAAGTTTAAGTGTTTGTTTTTACGTACATGGCCGGCCTCCCTGGATGTTTAATTAAACATTTTAAACTGTCTCTTGTCTTTTCTCTTCTTTTATATTCTTGAAAAGATCTGTCACAGAGAGAAATGTATACACGTTTATAGATTCTTTACAAAGTGAGCATGGCTACCAATAGAACTTGATTACATTTTTTAAATAAATATAACAAAATGAAATAACCTGAAGACACTTTCTTCCAGCCTATTCCCTCCACGAGAGAAACGTTGGTCTCCTTTGAAACAATACATGCAGGGATTAGGAGAATGTAATCCAGGTATTAGGATAATGCAACGTAAAAGTTATTTGAATGCTCCTAAATTAGCCCGGCAACAACACATGAAAGAGAGATGAAGGGATTACGTTTGTGCAGATGATAATGCTAAGAGGATATTCCAAAAATAGCAGTGATGCTTAAAATGCTATATGTGCAGTCTTGAACAAGTGAAACTAAATATGTATGTTGGTCTATATAAAAGTGCAATGAAAAAACATAAATATTCAGTTAATATGAGCAGAAGGCCAAGGTTAGGACATGTTCATAGGCAACACATATGCAAACTGTTGGATATTTATTGAAACTTGAATTGTATAGGTTTGATGCTTAATGTTTTTGTATGGAGCCAATAATAAGGACACAACAAGTGGTGTGGTCACTTTCAGGCAATGCAGATACACTGATCCAGAAGCTTCTTGTCTGTCTGAGACTGAGGTAAATACTATTTTCACACTGAACCATAGGCTACTGTATAAATGAAGATGCATTTTGCCATGATTTGAGCACACACATCAAATGAAATGACTGAAACTAAAGATGAGCGTTTTGTTGTATGTAATAAAGTGAATGATTCAAATATTTCAATGCCAGGTTGTGGCTCAGGGAGCTATAACTCATGAATTTCAATAGATGGCAGTAATACTAGCTCCACAACAACAATCAAAAAACAAGAAGAAGAAGCCACTGTAACCGGAAATGTCAACCGAGTGACTGCGAAGCGAAGTGGACTGCATTATTTCTCCAATTTACATTACATGATGGATTGCTAATTTGAATGAAGAAACAGTCATAATAAACCATCAACGACCAAACTGCCAACATGACAAATGGTAGGTTTACGGTGTGGAACTAGCGAATAAGTTATGCTAGCTACTTCTTGGACGGAATGCTAACTCAGAAGCTAGGTTATCTGTAGACGTGGCCCTGGGCAGCAACACAGTTATTATGTACAGAATATACACATGTTTATGACAATAACAGATCCAATGCGCTGCATTGCAATCCAAGATGAAAAGCTATGGTCCAAATACATCTTATATTGGGAACACTGTATTTTGTGTCAGGCTACAAGTCTTCTTGCCAACTAGCTTTGATTAACGGATGGGTTTGGTTGATCATGATAAGGTCCTGATAGCTGGACCACAACAATAATCGTACATTGCAAGAAAACATGTTACCGTGTTTGAAAAATCCACTTTTTTTTTGTTCTCGTCCACCTCTAATGTGGTTACACGACATTGTTGCTGCATTTGCAAGCAAGCAACTGCTGTAACGGGAAAATCAATATCCATACAGGGTTTATAATGTTACTGTTTTTATTATTTAAAAAAGTTATTTATCATTCAACTATTAAATTAATTTGCGACTATTTCTATAGTCGGTTTAAGATTAACAAACGATCAGATTTAGTTCTGTACTGTGTGAATTAATAATTGAATAGCTAATGCTTTCAGCTAACTGGCAGGTAAGACCATATATATAATTAAATGGATTGATTGATATTACCTTCCCCTTCTTTCATAGTGTACTCCCTCGATGGTATCCTGGTGTTTGGGCTGATGCTCATCTGCACTTGTGCATACCTCAAAAAGGTGCCTCGCATCAACAACTGGCTGCTGTCAGAGAAGAAAGGAGTTTGGGGCGTCTTCTACAAAGGTAGATATATTGAATTCACATTTTCTGATTCAATACATACCTGTGCTTTTTACACAAAATCTCCTTCTCGTAACACCTAACACTTGAGAGGTAATTCTTTAACTTAAAGGTGGGGTAGGTAAGTTTGAGAAACCGGCTCGAGATACACTTTTTGTTATATTCCATGGAATGCTCTTAACATCCCGATAGCAATGAATATCTTAAGTGCTTTGACAAAATATCCATTAAAAAATATCATCTGTGGAAGCCGTAGTACTGTAAAAAAAATCATTTTAGCCGGCCCGGCTAAAATAACTGGATGGCCTACCTGCCTGTCAGCCTTCCATCTGTGCACAAACTTGAGGTGAGGGGGTTGAGGTGACGTGCAACAACATTAACATTAATCTTTCTGTTGGTCGCTTGTTAGCAGACCCTTCACACGATGGCAGAGCGAACAGGTACAGGCAGGGTCCATAGTGATAGCCCTATAGTTTAAATCTACTACCCACAAATAAACATATGGACATGGGTTACTATTTGTTTTTTTAAATGGTAAATGTATTTAGGAACCTATCCATGTGATTTTAAGTGGGGGTGGACCTCAAATCCTCTAGGGGGGTGCGGCGGCAGGTTCCCCCGGTAAGATTTTTTTTTAAATGTTGGAGTTAAATGCATCAATCTGGTGCATTTTGAGGGGAAAATAAAGAGATTAGATATATGGGAACACCTATATGAAGCAGAACTGTATACATTTCAATAATCATAAAATCAGGGCCATAACCAATAACATATCCAATATGAAAAAACACTGACACCCTCAAATGTTTACATAAATGGTGACCAAACCGTTTGAGACCCACTGAGAACTTAGACTAAGTTAACTATCTTAACCGTCCTTTACCTCACCTGAGCTGAGGTTATCCCGAGCTTGAATGACACACAGAGACCAATCAAGGGTTTTGATTTATGATCTGTATGACAGTGGCCATGTCGGCAGGCCACATCATGTAGACAGCCAGTCACCCTGTGTGAGGCAGACCACATCATGTAGACAGCCAGTCACCCTGTGTGAGGCAGGCCACTTAACAGGCCAGGCCATCGGGAAACTCCCCGGTCCTCCCGATGGCCAGTCCGGGGCTGGGTACAGGAGGCGTAGAGCGAGGGATCATTCTCCACAAGTTAATCGATCGCAGATGGCGTCGTGGTCACGGACGAATAAAAAAAAAAAAAAGTATAAAAAAAAAAAAACTAAATGGGTCGCGAAATATACTTGGGCGGCCGTTAATATACCTGGGCGGCCCGCCCAATGTGTGGGAAACCATGCATCTATTTTAAGAGTTTGAATGCACTGTGTAAAGCCCTATCCTCCTGGGACCCGAGGAAAACAAGTGTCTTCCAATTTCCTTTTTTTTGTGATGTCCTACCTATTTAGGGTTAAAAAAACATCTTGCAATTTAGACTTTTTGAATTTAATTTAATTTTTAAATGTTACAGTTAATGCTGTCAAAATTATCGCGTTAACGGCGGTAATTAATTTTTTGAATTAACTGCGTTAAAAATATTTAACGCATTTAACGCATGTGCAGAATGGCCCGCCCAATACATCCCACCAGTGGCAGCCCTGGGGTAGGCTTCAGCCATACCAAGAAATGGCTTAGCCCCACCATGAAAAATTATGTTAAAGTAAGCAAAATAAAGTCCGCCAACTCGCGCCGAGTAAATTGCACAGACAGCAGTTAGTATGATTGATTTCAGTAGCCACTTGTCTGGAAATACCGAAGACCAGAAACGGTTTTTAAAACTTTTGTCATGTAGTGATCGTCTTCTCAATAGAACATATTTGATAATGTCTTCTGGCCAATCAGAATCAAGATAACGGCGTGGTGTTGTTGCAGGAAGTCCTGACGGAGAATACTTTTGCGGTAATGCATCTCTATATAGGCCTACGATACGTGTTGATAGAAATCAACACGTAATGAAATAAGACCCCACAGTTTGATGATTGATAGGTGTGTGGGTTGTCTTTCATTTTGACACACAGAACAATGTTATAATAAACATACTGTATTTTAAATGGATATATCCGCCTTCTTTCATTTATCTTTCCATTCCCACAACAATATACATAAAGAAATGGCATATTTTGGACATAGTTCGAATGGTGATTAATCATGATTAATTAATTTTTAAGCTGTGATTAATCTGATTTAAAAAATGTAATCGTTTGACAGCCCTAGTTACAGTATGTCCACTGTAGAGGACGTCGGGACTATTTTAGTTTGAAAAGACAGCCAAAATTAATAGATAGACTATGTAACATATTATGGTTATAGAGTGATATTAATACATTCACCTTTATTTAAAACATAAATAAGCAATTGATCTGAACATTGCTGTTTATTTGGTCACTAAAAAACTAGTTTGGTTTTTGGTGAATCTTTCCAGATCTTCAAAGACCTGTAGTCAATGTACTGGAAAAGTACCTCATTGACCCCAGTCGGCACGGGCTGTAGGGTCATCTTGACTAGTTTTATGGATGTGGTCTCCATTTGACCTGCTCATAGAAACAAAGCTTGCATTCCAGAGGCAATTCTCATTTGTCATGGCTCCACTTAAAATAAAAACAACAATAAGACATACGTGCTACTCTTGGCCCACAGAGGGCCATGTCTTTCCAGCTCGTCCCTATCTGGCTCTCTATCTGTATCTGTGCGCTCATGGAGCCTCCTGCATCTTTCCCCCCCTTCTTCTTGACCCTCTTCTATCCCAGGTGTGAAAGCCTCACCTCTCTCATCATCTGAGAGCTCAACATCTGAATCTCCCTTAACTATCTGGTACAGAAAATGTCTGCTTCAGTTCCGTCTCCTGCAACAATATTGAGTCATAAAGTCCATGAAGATGGTCCTGACGTCCACTAGAATGGACATTTATAAAAGAGCTGTTATTTGAAAACTTGAATTATTTAATTGCTTTCAGAACTAATTATATAGTTCCTCACATGTTAATAAACAAGAACATATATGATTTTCATGGTAAAAATTACAATTATTCAACAATATTTGACTTCTCCTCCTGCTTCTATAACATTTTGTTTTTGGTATGCCAGCCATTTTGGATGAAAAGAAAGAGGAACTTCCCAGCATGCAATTTTAACCAATGACATGATATCACTGGAAAGACCAGGATGTCCTCTGTACAGTACATCAGGGATTGATAGAGTAGCTCAAAAGAGTAATAGGAGATGCATGTTAACAAAATGTCCGCTACAGTACTACAGATATATATATATGTAGAGGTAAAAGCCCTTTAATCTCAATGTCAGAAAAAATCGTAATCAGAGTTTAATTTTAAATGTATTGTTCTATCGTATGTAGTCAAAACAACAGAGGATGTGTCACTGCCCAAATATTTCCAGACGGCAGTGTAATGTTAAACTCTTGTCTTTGTCTACAACACTCACCTCACTTATGATAACGCCTCATCCAAGAGTTCTACATGTTCTCATGGTAAACTATATTCTACTGGTTCTGTATGTTCAAAGTTTACATGTAATTTTCCTCCATCTCTCTTCCCAGCTGCGATAATCGGGACGCGGCTGCATATTGCTGTGGCTATTTCCTGTTTGACCATGGCCTTCTACATTGTCTTCTTGAAATGATAGAGTCTGAATGGACTGGAAAGGACACAGACGGGTGCAGGCTGCGGATGGACTCAACACTGTGGCCATGTGCTAATCCCTGTTGTGGGACATCTCTTGGATTACATGGCCATGAAACCCCATTGGCCCTGTTGACCCCAAGGGAAAGACTAGCTAGTGCTGCCCCCTTCTGGTGACTGGGTACATAACCGCTTCCTTGATAATGTGTGTGCACTACAGACATGATGGGCATCCGGAATCTACTCCACAGTTATCACAGAGGAGAAAGAGCCAGTTGGGTCCCTTTGTATCATTCATTGTTGGGTAACACTGTTGGTTGTCTCCATCCACACCCCATGAATATTTATATTGAAGGATGCAGAAGATTGAAGGGCAGTGTGTGCATTATATGTTATACCTGTATACAACATAAAATGGGTCTAGCTGTATATACTTGGAAAAATATATGACCAATCGAGATTTGCCAGAGAACTAAACACAATCTATTGTGCTTGCTCCCAGCTGTGCTGTTTTATTTTCTGTATCACCTCTTGTGTCAAGGGTGGAGGGGAACATAAACAAAGCTAATATATAAAGATTTTCTTGGGTACACATTATATTTTAGTTTCTTAATTTCCTTTATTTTAATTTTTTTCAGAACAGTGCTGGCATCTCTTAAGCTTTGTTTTTGGTTTGAAATACACATTTTGCACAGCTGTATGTTATATTTACTTTAACCTATCAATAGATAACATTTTGTCAAATGAAACTAAGATATGTAGGAGTCCAAGTTCTAACACAACTGTAGAGTATCACAGATAGAAGCATAACTTTGAAAGAGGCATATAATAACATTTATGAAATTGGAAAGTTAAATCAGACTTAACAGAAGATCTGAATGGAGATGATGCTTTTTGTACCCTTTTAATTAGATATTTTAATTCTGCCACATTATTTTATATTTTTAAAAGAAGAAGCTGTTTTTGGAGGGGAAGCAATGCAATTTTGAGTAAAACAATAATCTGATCATTTCTGTGTGTGTGTTTTTTTTTTTAGACAAAAGTAATCTCCAGTGACATTCAGGAGTTTGTTCATGATTTATTGATTCAAATCAATTGTGTTTAATGTTTGTTTGTTCCCTAATATATAATATATTATAAAATCCATAATAAATTAAAATGAAGTACAATTCTGAAACAATGTATATTTAATTTAGAGTTACTCATCTTTTTGGCTAATATTTAGTTGAGCCAGCTTTGACAGGAATTACAGACTTGAGTATATTCGTTTTACAGTGAATAGATCTGCATCAGATTTTTACTTTGGATTTTTTCAATTCATCCCACATTATTTGTTCCGTCTCAGGAGATAAACTGTCATGTCACACTAACATCGAGTCACTCCTGGTCACTAATTTAGTTATTATTAAAGCCATTTATTGGCATTGATTTCATGTTCAACAGTCTAATCTCAGGTTGGGCTGTCCCTTATAAATCCAGCACAATAGTACAACATTTTTTTGTCAATAAAGGCAATAAAACGTTCTATCACAGTGGTTTTATTTTCCCACATAATGTACTTTAAAACCAAAGTTTTTTGTTTCTGAAAAACTGAAAGAAGAAGCACATAAGGAACATTATATGCAGTGTCTCCCAACTCACCAAATCAACCCTCTGGCTTTTGCCAATAGTGCAGTTGATCCACACTTTTTTGTCTGAGGACAACCTGCTGTCAGCAGATTTATAATTCCAGTGACTTTAGCGCTTTGGAAAGTGTATTATAACTAAGCTCTGGAAATGTTCAATGTCATTATTTAGAGTTGACATTTTCTTAGATAATTTATTTTATTAAGCACAATACCAGGACCTTAAAACTGAAAGAAACCAGAAAGAAACCAGAAACCAAACTGAAATAAACCAAAATAAATCAGCCATTCATCTATAAGTTTCATCATTTACACACGGCATCTATTGCACGTCTGTCCGTCCTGGGAGAGGGATCCCTCCTCTGTTGCTCTCCCTGAGGTTTCTCTCATTTTTCCCTTTAAACTGTGGGTTTTCTCCGGAAGTTTTTCCTTGTACGATGTGAGGGTCTAAGGACAGAGGGTGTCGTATTGTCATACTGATATTCTGTACAAAGTGTGAAGTCCACTGAGACAAATGTAACATTTGTGATATTGGGCTATATAAATAAACATTGATTGATTGATTGATAAGTCACACCTGTGCTTTTCATGCGGCATCATATCATAATGTCTAATATGAAAAAGCCTTGTAATGCTCCTGTTGCCTTATGATGACGTTTTACACCATTCAGCTGACAGACATTATTTTATTAACACCTCACATACACATATTACACACAGGCGATTCAAATTCAACTATGCAGGTTATAAATAAGCGAATGAACTTTGCCATTTTGGGGTGTGTGCCAAAATAAATGGATGAGTATGTCTAGCACTAGGAAGATTAATTACCTTATAGAGTCATAACAATTGTTTTATTTTTGTAATAAAGAATCTTATTTGTGTATCAGAATATAAAAAAAGCATCAATGTCACTGTTTGGTCATGACATGATTAGATATATTCCTATAAACAACTCACTGCCGCACACATTACACATAGGCAATTTGAATTCAACTAATTATGCAGTAAATAAAACGACTGCACTTTGGCCATTGTTGGGTGTATGCAAAAATATATGGTGGAATACTGCGATTCATTGTCTTATATAGTCATAAATATCGTTTTATTGTTGTGTTAAAGTATTGTATTTGTTGATCAGCAACTACGAATGAACTTTCACTTAGTTGTAATAAATAAATAGTTAATTGGGGGTTAATATTGAAAGCAATATTTTGTATATTTGTATGCATTAATGCTCCATTGTTTTATGAAGAGATTATTAGCTGATAACACTGGTGTAATTATATTAGGTCAACGTCATTATATCTTCAGTATATTTAAAAATATTTGATATGTTCAGTGTCCACAAATAGAGAGAGTTTCCCTATAATGTCCTCAACAGGGATATCCCCTTGTTTCTCAACTGTGTCTCAGTTCTCGCGAGAAAATAATGAATACCGGGAGCGCGCAGTGACGAAGTGACGTTCGCGTTCACGTGTCTAGAACAGTGCGAAAAATTCAGCGAAAGATAGTCCAGACCGAGCTTCCTGACCCGAGCCCGTTTAGCAGAGGAAGTTGTCTCAAAGAGCCCCGACGTGCACGCAGAGGTGGGAATTTGCTTTGCACAACTGCACCGAATCTGCAGGACTGGGTGGCGGAAGTTTTTCTTATGTGAAAGGGTACCGTCTCAGTTTTTAGTTTTTTTGTATCAGGGAGCAGCACCACACCACGTCGTGCCACTCACGGGGAGGAGAGGAGAGAGGGCAGAAGTTTCCGCTGGCTTGTTTTGTCGCTGCGCGGCTGGTAAATCCGCAGGAATGTCGCAGAAGGAGAGACCCACTTTCTACCGACAGGAGCTCAACAAAACCGTGTGGGAGGTCCCGGAGCGGTACCAGAACTTATCTCCCGTCGGCTCCGGAGCTTACGGATCCGTATGGTAAGCAGTTGTTGCAGCACAGAGTACACAGCACACTGAACGATTGCACAACGGCTTCCCACCACCCACAGAGGCCCTCCCGAGTTAACCTCATTACGGGCTGCAGATCTACCTGTGAAGGGTGCTGGTGGATGTAAGGGAAACTATCACTTGTGCCGTTTGTTTACATTTTCATACTTGGGCTGTTACGAACCGATGACACATTGTGCACGCTTCGGGTTGGCTCGCTTCTCTTCGGAGGGTGGGGATTATATTTGTTTGTGTGCACATTCTTGCTCTGCTCTTCTACTTACTCCTGTTCTGTAAACATATAGCGTTTACGTCCAGGAAGCAAATTGACAGCACCAGGATGAAGTTGTACTATATACACAGTGTTAAACGTGCAGCTTTTTGATGGTTTGCCTGTGTTTTTAGAAAGAAGGCTGATGTTCAGTGGCATGTCCACGCTTGCATCATGCCAAAGTGGTGCCTCCTCGTCAAACACAATCTGTGCTCCTCTGCCGTGAGGGGGAAACCAACACCTAGCGAAATGACCGCCTCCCACTACAATAGTATTGTAATCCTGCACGTACAACCTGATACTAACACACATAGCATGCATTATGCATTTTCCAATAGGGTGCAGCCTGCAGAGTACCAGAAGGTCACGTGGTTTTTAGAAAGTAGGCCCCCTCGTGCACACGCAGAGCTTTCTATAGGATCCGGCGACGGTGATGACTCTAGAATGATGTCACCCTTTATCCCGTTGTGGAACACCCATGACTCACAGTCCCGAGGTTAGGTAGTGGCCTCAGCTGCGACTTTTACTCATCACAAAGTCATAGATGGCATGGTGCCGTCATTTTAACTTTTACTGTTCGTTTTGACCCTTCTTTCACACACTCTACTTTTGAGTATGTAAGGTTTTAGCAGTTTTTAGAAATGAATAAGTGTATAACATTACATTTTTTCCAATTTGAACAGTCACTGTATTGGCCTTGATCTGTTTTTGCACATGCAAGGCATGATGAATCTATGCAGTGTCTTCATTATGGAAATGCATTTGAGACTAAATACTGCGATTTGTGTTAATAACATGCATTTATATAAGAAAATCTAATATTTGCCCTTTCAGAATGTGACAGAGACTGATTAGTTCTCAGAACGTCTTTTATTAACATACATTTTCGGTCGTCAATTAACTGTTTCCCCTCTTCCTTTTTACTGATCTGTAAATTACACTTTGATTGAATTATTTTCATACAGACAGATATTGTTAATCTTTTCAAATGAATGCAGTTAACCTTTCAACATGAAAAAAATATCCATTTGACCATTGAGCTTAACTGCCTCACCAAATGTGTAGATTTCCCAAAGATATTCGTAGTCCTAACCCTACAGAAGAAAGGCCAAGTGCATCTTTCTTCCTGTCACCTGCAGCTACATTCCTCTGTGTTTTCTGTATTTCATCCCCGACCAGGTCAAGGAGTTATCAGTCTATCTCTTAGCAACATCATATGATCACAAGGCCTTTTGAATATTACAACTACAATGAATTCTGCAGGTGAAGTGGTCCAAACAGCAGGGTGGCATTAATATCATTTTTAAGTTATCTGAAATGTATAAATAAACTCCCAGGCCCTACTGTTGGCTGGTTGGACACGCTTTCATCTGCTCAGCCAGCAGAGCCTTTGTTGTTGCTGCCATGCCGTTCCCCAGGCTCTTGACTCGGACTCTTACCTTATTTTAAATATTTAAAGCATGTACTATGTGAAGTCTTTATACTGTCACTCAGATACAAATACTTCTAAGAAAAGATAGAGGACCCCCTTTTCCTTATTTCTGACCTTTGTTCTATTTTCTAAATGTCAGACTTGGATGTGATCCAGGGTTAGTGTGGAAACAAAGTGTTTACAGTGAATGCCGCTGGCTGGGTTTACGGTATGGACTGTGTTCTGAGTTCCTCGTGTTGTTCAGTCTAGGTTTCTCAGCAGAGATGAAAAACCCCTTGAGGCTCACAGGGCAATGAGGGCAGATATGCATATTTAATCATTCATTTCCAGCCCGCTGCAGGGAAGTGAATCATGGCTAAAAACAAAAAAAAATCTAAATATTTTAGGCTTGGATGAATTCATAAACATAATTAATACCGAGGCATTAGAATATGCACAAGTCAGTAAAAAAACATGGTAACAGTATTAAGCATTTTATTTTCAAAGAAAAGTGGAACAAAGTATAAATAGAGAAGTAATCACTGCATGCCGCAATAACACTGTTTACTTTATAAGAATCACAGAAATCATCTTATGTAGGAACTTCATGTTTTTCTGCTTTCTCTCAGACATTCATAACACACTGACATTTCAAAAAGTGCTATTGATTTTCCTAGACAACAGCTTTGGAAAATAAGTTACTTGAAAGGTTTTCTGTGCCCAGCCCCAGCTCAAGGGGCTGTGGTGAATCCGTGTCCCTTGCTTGTAGCGTCTGTACTCAAATGTCTCATTCTCAAATGTCTCAACTCATTCTCAAATGCACCATAATTGTGTCCCCTAAATGCTTATGTTGTCGGCTTTCAAAGAAGTGCTTACGACCTTTATGCCCGAAAAAGATTGAAGCCTGTTCACTTTGACATATTAAAAAGAGTCTGTATGCAGCATTGGGTATTTTGCTGATGATGAAAGGTTGTAGGATGAAGCTAATGTGGTGAGAAGGTGCAATATTGTGGTATTCAAGGTCTGGCTGACTGACTTGGTTTTTACCTCCAGAGAAGTGTGCACTGACTTGTAAGATTTCCAAACAAACACGGCTTAACATTAAAACCAGCAATTTGACATGACTTTAAGCTCCAGCAGTTAGTCATGTGACGTGCATGACTGAAAGCATCTGTGGCGTCAGGAGAGTGAAACTTTTCCGTGACTGTGTGTGTTATTAGAGCCCCAACACATTTTGGCTTGCAGACATCTTGGGTACGGAGATAACGTAAGATAACATTTTTGCAATTGAACTGAATAAAATAGACAATTTCAGTGTTTTTGTAGATTGGTAGACTCATAGCTATTACTTGTACTTATTACTGAATCTTGATACTAAATATGTATTCAAAATGATGTTATGCAGTGATGAATTGTTCTGTCAGAGTTTACACTTCACAAACACTTGTGGGTGGACACACTTTGAGTCTTATTCTTTTTTTAAATAGCCTTTTGTTTAAAAAAAAAGAAAAGAAGCTAAACCAGTTCATCTGGGAGGTGGAGGAAGGATAGTAGTTGAGTGGTTTTCTTTCATCAGCACCGCTGGATTGATGGATATAGCACAGCGGATTGGACATATAATGAATCAAACTGGATTATGTGAAATACTGCCATAATGGTGTTCTTTATACATATATATATATATATATGAAATGCTTGTTGGTGTGCATTGATAAAAGATAAGCATTCAATTAGGGATGCACCGAATATTCGGCCACCGAAAATTATCGGCCGAAAATGGTTAAAAAGGCCCTTTCGGCTTTCGGCCGAAAGGGTTTTAGCCAGTGCTTGAATTGGAATGAAAAAGGTGCCAGTACTCTAAAATCAGCAACTTTTTCAAGTCAATTTTATATATACAGCCCACAAACAAGAATGTGGCTACTATAATGCTGGTGGGTTTGTCTCTTTACTACTGTATATTTTAGAAAGGTTCACTGTACTTAACATTTTTTATGATAGGCAGCGGATATGGCTAAAGCTCAGTAAGGTCAATATTAACTGAAAATATAGCAATCAAAGTCTAGATCTTCTGCTGAAGACACATGAAGCAGAGACCTTTCAGGTGAGAGCCCCTCTGGTGGTGTTCAACATTAATGACAAGGAAACAAAGCTCTGGTCAGAAGCATTTTTTATAAAAAGCTTTAACAAAATTAAGTATTTCTGTACATTTTGAATGCAATCTAACTTTCCAACTCAGAAAACGAAAAAACGAAAAAGTGCCAAAAGTCTTCTCACATGGCTGAGCTGCTTTGCAATATACTTCACCACTGAAGAATACAAATATGTATAAAGTAAACTATGATGCAATCTAACTTTCCAACTCAGAAAAATGATAAAGAGCATGAACAAAGAACATGTAAAAACAAATGCAAAATTTGCACAATCTAAAATGAGAAACTGTAACTGCAAGTAACAAAGTCTGAGCCATGGTAAAGAGTTACATTGAACACCAAGCTGATCAGATAACTCCCTGGTTGGTCTGAAGTCCTTCTATCTCCAGGATCTGTACAAATCGGCACATTATGCCAAAAGTCTTCTCACTGGGTGAGCTGCTTTGCAATATACTTCACATTGTTAGAAAAGGCTCCAGAAGGCCTTGGGGACATCAGTATCAGGGGCTGGAGCTGGACAGGCTCTTTTATCAGCACTTCTCCTTCCCTTTGCCAGCCAGGACCTCACATACTGTTCCGGATTGAACTGTCCTAGTGATGGTCCATTACATTTAATGAAAACCAGGCTGGACAGTCGGCTGACAGAGAGAGCATTCCTTTTTGCAGTAAGGATATCGTTCATGCAGCTGAATGCCCGCTCACACTCACTAGTGGAGACAGCGATGGTTCGGACTGCTTTCAGTAGAGGCTCCATGGCAGCAGGTGTACGGGATGCCCTGGTTTCCTTGTATTCGCGAAAGCCCTGAACAGTCTCTCTTCTGTCCACTTTCAGCACTTCGCACAAACGTAGCACCTCTACGTCCCCATACTGTACGTCTAACTCCTCTTCAGGCCAACTTCCAGGATGGATAACTTTCATGTCCTGGATTAGCTGATTGTCCCGGGCCTCCCGGCCATGTAATGGGATTTCTCTTGTGCTGACATGAGAGGAGGTTGTGGAAGTCATTCTGTGTCTCAGATTCTCTACCATACTGCGGAAAAACTGACCTGCATGAATCTGTACAAGCCTGCCATTCTCACGCAGGGCAACACCCTTGAAGGACTTCTCAGCTAGAGCTGTATGAACTGTAGTCATGTGTGGGCCAGGCATGGTGACCAT